GAACAATAAACATCACGGAGACAAAGGAGGTGTTATTAAATATGCAGGATATGATACATTATGTGAAGCAGTGTATGGGTTATAAACCATTCAAGTCTATCATAATTTTCTAGAAGGATTTTTTATCATTTACATACAAATCTTTGTAAGGCAAAATTCTGCCTGCCTTGCACACAATGTTAAGGGGAAAAAGAATTAAACTAAAAATATTCTAAATCTATCCAAGGTGGGCATGGCTACTAACATGTCTGGAACACCTTACTGTCTTTTTAATGTATTCAGCCACACAATATCCCCTGTGAAGTAGGAAAGTATTATTTCAGTGTTACAGCTGGAGCAAGAGAGACTAAATAGCTTGCCCAAAGTCACACAGGAACTGAGCTGAGGTCCCCAGGTCCCAGATTAGCTCTGTAACTGAACCACCTCTCCTCTCTCAGGGGAATATGGCCATCCTTCCTACTGTGCATCACATGTGCCTGTCCTTCTATTCCTCCTGACTTGTGCCCCTGCACCAAGATGGCAATTCCTGGTCTTCTCAGCATAGTGATGGATCTGTTAGTCTTCCCTTGGTGCAAAAAGAAGGACCAAAATTATGTCAGCCTGTGAAGGAAGCTGTCCACAAAGGTGAGGGTTTGCTGCCCTGAGTTTAAGCAGAGTTTCTTTCTGTGCTGAAACACTTGAGGAGGCATGGCAGCTCCTTTCGATACAGTACCTTCCAGGAGGGTTTCTGGGGTGTTGGATCTCAAAAGCATCCTCAAAAGAGATCCTCAGTAGGAAAACCTGGATTTGAACAATGCTCCCCCTTCATTCTTAGGCACATACAGCTAAAGGGCAAATGAAGCCTTCCACAAAGCCTGGCCAGCCTCTGCACAGAAAACTTGCAACATGTTCTTACCTTGCCTGAAAGAAACTGGACCAGTGGCTAAGGTGGGAGTCATAGAAACAGGGCAAAAAGACACTGGGTCAGTTTAGTTGTAGTCTGTGTTATGTTGAAGCCTCCGGGAGAAATCCTAAGGGAGTTATTCAGATTCCTTTGAGGGATTTCAGCTGCCAGAGTCCCTCTCCCAAGCACCTCCCACACATTGAAGAGGGCCTGGAACAGCATGTTTTGCCTTGTCTTGGTGAGTAGGGAGCTTTGGGGATACATTTCTGAACTGTGGACTTCACATGAAAGCTGACTGTTGCCTTAGCTCCTGCTGGCTGGAGAGAAGTAAGAGCAACTTTTTTCAGAATGAACAAAAGAGCAGCACAGTCGTTATGAGCTTTCTGTATAGTCGCCCCACTTCTGGTGAACAAACTTACCTCCCTTGTTTAAATGCTATGTAAAGAGCTATGTTAAAATATTTTTATTTGGACATTAGTGCATCTGGCACTGTACTATTACAGCAGGTGAATAGCAAATTATTCATTAGCTAAATATTGTTTTACTACAACAGGACACTTCCTAGTGCTTAACATCTAAAAAGGGTGATTTTTATTTGCAGCTGTGATGTATGACCCCCCCCAACAGTTAGTTTTCAGATATGCTGTTTTGAAATGCTGCTCTGTCCTCTTTTAACCTTTCTTTTGATCATTTCTCTAAAAGGAATCGAAATGGAAATTGTCAATAGCTGTGAAAGCAACAATGGTGGTTGTTCTCATCGCTGTGAGCACTCAACTGGTGGGCCTCACTGTTCCTGCAACAAGGGATATGTGCTTGATCTGGATGGGAAAACATGCATAGGTAATACGCAGTAAATGCCATGTCACACTGAAAGAGAGGAAATGGTATCTGAGGCCCATCAGAACAGAAAGAGAGGATGAGGTGAAAGGGGGTGTCTAGAATAAATCTATCACTTAGAGGAGAATCTCATTTAATTCCTTCCATTCATGCATAGAATCATAGAAAATTAGGGTTGGAAGGGACCTCAGGAGGTCATCTAGTCCAACCCCCTGCTCAAGGCAGGACCATCCCCAACTAGATCATCCTAGCTAAGGTTTTGTCTAGCCAGGTCTTAAAAACCTCCAAGGATGGAGAGTCCACAACCTCTCTGGGTAACCTGTTCCAGTGTTTTACTTTCCCTAATATCTAACCTAAACTTCCCTTGCTGCAACTTGAGACCATTGCTCCTTGTTCTGTCATTTGCCACCACTGAGAACAGTCCAGCTCCATCCTCTTTGAAACCCCCCTTCAGGTAGTTGAAGGCTGCTAGCATATCTCCCCTCAGTCTTCTCTTTTGCAGACTAAATAAGTCCAGTTCCCTCAGCCTCTCCTTATAAGTTATATGCCTCAACCTCCTAACTATCTTCATTATCCTCTGCTGGACTCTCTCCAATATGTTCACATCCTTTCTGTAGCAGAGGCCCCAAGACTGGACAGAGTACTCCAGGTGTGGCCTCACCAGTGCCGAATAGAGGGGAATAATTACTTTCCTCAATCTGCTGCCAGCTCTCCTAGTAATGCATCCTGGTATGCTGTTA